TGCAGTGCCACAACGATGCCACCCGAAGGTTGCAGGAACAGCACCTCCATATTCCGCTTGGGAACCCTGCAGCCTAATGGTATCAATGTGGACTTCACAAGCTTCAAAATCTCCCCTCCCCCTACCGCATCCCAAAACCAGCCCAGCTTGTCCTCGCCTCCCTAAGCTGTCCTTCCTCCCACCTATCCCCTCCTCCCACCTCCAGCCCCACCCCCATCTCCTACCTACTAGCCTCATCTTGCCCCTTGACCTGTCTGTCCTCCCTGGACTGACCTATCCCCTCCCTAACTCCCCACCTACACTCACCTTTACTGGCTCCATCCCCGCCTCTTTGACCTGTCTGTCTCCTCTCCGCCTATCTTCTCCTCTATCCATCTTCCCCTCTCTCCCTATTTATTTCAGAACCCCTTTCCCCTCCCCCATTTCAGAAGAAGGGTCTAGACCCGAAACGTCAGCTTTCCTGCTCCTCTGATGCTGCTTGGCCTGCTCTGTTCATCCAGCTCTACACCTTGTTATCTCAGATTCTGCAGCATCTGCAGTTCCTACTATCTCGGAGATCACTTATGTAATGGCTATTGTTCTTTCGCTATATTAGCCTTCATTCACTTCTAGATATTAGGAAGAGAAATGAGGAGCAACAATGTAACCAAGCTAAATGAACATTGAAGAGATATGCCTTCATGGAATAACATTCCTTGGAACCTCCCATATACAACATATTAATCTTGACAAACAGACTGCACGCAAACATTTGCTACAAAACCTGAACAGATATATAGGCAGGCTGTAGCACTGATCCATGAATGAAAAAAATCAAAGCACATGACCAACCAAATTTAAAAGGTGAAAAATTTCCAAATTCATCAACTCATTGACAGGTGCATCCCGCTTCTCAAAATATTTCTATGGTAACTGATTTTATGTCATTCTAAGCCAAAGACCATTCAAGGGTGTACAACATAGATTGTTATGAGGAGAGGTTATACAAATTAGGCTTGTGTTAACCAGAATTTACAAGGTTAAGGGACGGATCTGATCAAAGATATTAACAATAAAAGATATGGTAGAGAAAGATAAACTATTTACACTGGTTGGAGATTCTAGAACTTGGGAAGATAATCTAAAAATTAGGGCCAAACTGTTTAGGGGAGACATTAGAAAACAGTTCTGTGCGCGCGTGCGTGCAGACACACACACACACACAAAGTGTGGTAGATGTCTGGAGCCCTCTTCCACTTACAGCAGTGGATGCTCAATCAGTTACTAATTTTAAATCTGAGATGGGTAAGTTTTTATTAAACAGTGGTATGTGGAATAGGGAGTAAAGTCAGGTATATGGAATTAGGCCACAGATCAACCAAGATCTCAATGAATGTCAGAACAGGCTCCAGGGACTGAATGGTCGACTCCAGCTCCCATGCAATCATGACTGATATTGTACAAATTTGGCATAAAGTCATCACAGCACACAAAATACAAATGCCACACCAATTGATGTCTTCCCAGGGAAAAAATAGAAAGGGAATATCCAAGTAAAGACAGAATTTCTGGAGCTTTTTACTTTTGCTGCCGCATCTGAGCCAGCATAAATAAATGAAGGTCAATCCTGTATGTACCTAATGGTTAGTAGGTCACAGCAGTTAATTTCTGTTCTCCAGAAGAAACAACCCAGTAACGGATTCTGGTGTTAGACCCACATGAACTTTACAATTAGTGAAATAATACTCATTCCTCAATCTCATTACACCGTGTGATACACATAATGCTTCCTCATACTGGAAGATGATGATGCAGTTCCATAGTGTTTCAGGGTGTAAACGCTGTTTCCTACTCTGGTGCAGTTTTTGTCTACATTGCAATATTGGAGGGAGGCACTAAACCAATAAAAGCCAACAGGAGGGATAGTCTAAAATCCAAAATCAACTCTGAGTTGAAAAAAAACTACAAAGAGACTAAAATTCATCACGGTATAAGATTACAGAGTTCAGCCTAGACTAGTCTTCAATGGATTTTTGACCAAATGATTTTTATTAACCTTCACAGTAACTCATTCGTCAAAAATATAAGATGAATATCATCAACACAACCAAGTAACTTTAATGGTGTTACTTCTTTTTAAGCAGCTTCCTATACGGCGTTGAAATTATTGACAAAAATCACATCACCACAGAGGATCGAACAGTCTGGACCACTGCTACACAAACATTAAAGACGCCTACCGCTCAATCCCGTCCACATTTCAGAAAATCCAATCACAGCACTGTATTCCTCCTCCCAGTTTACAAGCAGAAGCTGAAATGGGAGAATCCTTCACAAAAAGTAGTACAGTGCTAGTCCGAGGCAGTGGCAGACTGTCTCCAGGACTGCTTGGAACCGATGGGACTAGACAGTCTTCAAGTGTTCAGCGGAAAACCTAGACGAGTATGCCACCATCATGGACTTCATTAGCAAATGTGTGCAGGACTGTGTACCAAAGAAGTCAATCCGCATGTTCCCCAACCAGAAACCTTGGATGAACCAGGAAATCCACGCTGTGCTGAAGACCAGACATGCAGCATTCAAGCCGGGTGACCCAGACCAATACAGAAAATCCAGATATGACCTCCGCAAAGCCATCAGAGAGGCCAAGAGACAGTACCAGACCAAGTTAGAAGCCCAGACCTACCAATGAACACCCACTGTCTATGGCAAGGCCTAAACAACATTACGGGATACAAAATGAAACCGTATAAGATAGCGGACAATGACACATCCCTCCCCAACATCTTTAATGCTTTCTATGCTCGGTTTGAGCAGAATACCACTGGCATGTCAACGCATTCCCCGACAGCCCCAGACACACCTATTCCCTCTGTCACCGCTGCAGAAGTCAGATCAGTTTTCCTGGGAGTCAACCTGAGGAAAGCGACAGGCCCAGAGAGTGTCCCTGGCCAAGTACTCGGATCCTGTGCGGACCAACTGGTGGAGGTATTCACTGACATCTTCAACCTCTCCCTACAACAAGCTGAAGTCCCCACCTGCTTCAAGACGACCACCATCAACCCCATACCTAAGAAAGTACACGCAATGTGCCTTACTGACTACCGCCCAATAGCTCTGACTTCAATAATCATGAAGTGCTTCGAGAGGCTGGTCATGGCCCATATCAACTCCAGTCTCCCAGCCTGCCTCGATCCCCTACAGTTTGCCTACCGACATAACAGGTCCACAGTAGCTGCCATTTCCCTAGCCCTGCACTCATCCCTGGAACATCTGGACAACAAAGACACCTACATCAGACTTCTGCTTGTTGATTGCAGCTCCGCCTTCAGCATCATTATTCCCTCCAGACTGATCACAAAACTGCATGACTTTGGTCTCGGCTCTATCCTCTGCAATTGGATCCTCAGCTTTCTGACCCACAGGCCGCAATCAGTGAGGATAGACAACTGCACCTCCTCCACAATAACACTCAACACTGGGGCCCCCCCCAAGGATGTGTCCTCAGCCCCCTACTGTACTCCTTGTACATCCACTTCTGTGTTTCCAAATTCTGAACGACCACCATCTACAAGTTCGCTGACGACACCACCGTACTGGGACGGATATCTAACAACAACGAGTCAAAATACAGAAGGGAGATAGAGGGCTTGGTGACATGGTGCAACGAAAACAATTTATCTCAACGTCAGCAGAACCAAAGAACTGATCATCGACTTCAGAAAGGAGGAGAACACACCCCCATCTACATCAACAGAACTAAGGTTGAGAGGGTAAAGAGCATCAAGTTCCTTGGAGTGACGATAACCGACAACCTGTCCTGGACTTCCCACGTAGATGTAACAGCCATGAAGGCACAACACCTCTTCTTCCTCAGGCAGCTCAGGAAATTTGGCATGTCCATAAGGTCGCTCACCAACTTCTACAGATGCACCACCAAAAGCATACTGTCCAGATGCATAATGTCCAGATCCAGTATGGCAACTGCACTGCCCAAGATCATAAGAAACTACAGAAGGTTGTAGGCACAGCTCAAACCATCACAGAAGCCAACCTTCCATCCACGGATAACACAGTGTGGAGCTGGAGGAACACAGCAGGCCATGCAGCATCAGAGGAGCAGGAAAGCTGATGTTGCGGGTCGGGACTCTTCTTCAGAAATCCATGGACTCTATTTATACGGCTCACTGTTGCGGAAAGGCAGCCATCATCAAAGACCCATCACACCCCTGTAATGCTCTCCTACAACCTCTTCCATCAGGCAAAAGATACAGAAGCCTGAACACACGCACCAGCAGGTTCAGAAACAGCTTCTTTTTGGCCGTTATCAGGCTGTTGAATGGACTCTAGCCTCAAATAATGTAACTTGCAATGTAACCTGTATGCCTCTAAGTCTTTTTGATCTGTACATCTTTTGCTTGCTGTGGTCTGCCTGTACTGCTCATAAACAAAGCTTTTCACTGTATTTCAGTACACGTGACGATCGATTGATCGATCGATCGATCAATCAATCAATCAATCAATCGATCAATCGATCAATCGATCAATCGATCAATCAATCAATCGATCAATCGATCAATCAATCAATCGATCAATCAATCAATCGATCAATCAATCAATCAATCAATCAATCGATCAATCGATCAATCGATCAATCAATCAATCAATCAATCGATCAATCAAAAAGCAAAGCTGGCAAGGATAGGTGTCACATTCACATGAACTATGAGGCATCTGGAGTGACGAGCCCGGATATATTTGAATAAAGATATTAATCATATTTTTCATGTGCTTCTTTGTTTGTAAAAAAAAAACTGTAAACATTTACCTCAGGATTCTGTTTCTGCAGGTTGGACAGTTCTACCTGGTACAAGTCAGCCATATGAGAGTATACTGCAGGCAACTGAGCCTGTGGCACCATTAATGCTTTCATAGTCTGGGCTGCATCACCATTGCGGATTGCAGCATTAATCTTTTCAACAGCTTCAAGCTCTGCATTAATATAAAACAAAAATATATAATCAGATCATCATGTACATCTATACTCAATATTTCAGCTGGGGGTTAAGATTACATACCAATCCCACCCATTCAATGGCAAAGGTAACTCTTGGGAAGAATCATGGAACATGTCAAAATTGGTGGTATAGCAGACAGTGAAGAAGGTTATCTCAGAGTACAACAGGGACCTTGATCAGATGGGCCAATGGGCCAAGGAGTGGCAGATGGAGTTTAATTAGGTAAATGTGAGGTGTTGCATTTTATTAAAGCAAATCAGGGCAGGAATTGTGGAGTTTATGGTATGGGTGTGGGGAGTGTTGCAGGATAAAGAGACCAGACTGTAGGTGCAGACCTCCACGAAAATGGAGTCACAGGTAGACAGTATGAAGAAGGTGGCACTTGGCATGTTGCCTTAATTGATCAGAACATCGAGTATAGGAGTTGGGACATCAAGTTGCAACTATACAGGGCATTGTGAGGCCACTTTTAGAATACTGCATTCAATTCTGGTTGCCCTTCTATAGGAAGGATGTTGTTAAACTTGAAAGGGTGCAGAAAAGATTTACAAGGACGTTGCCAGGACTGGAGGATTTGAGTTATAAGGAGCGACTGAATAGGCCGAGGCTATTTTGCCTGGAACGTGAGAGGCCAAGGAGTGACCTCAGAGGTTTATAAAATCATGAGGGGCATGGATAGGGTGAATAGCCAAGGTCTGCTTCCTAGAAGAGTCCAAAACGGGAGGACATACATTTAAGGTGAGGGGGTGGGGGAAGATTTAAAGAGGACCCGAGGGATAACTTTTTCCACACAGAGGGTGGCGCCAGTATGGAACGAGCTGCCAGAGGAAGTGATGGAGGCTGGTACAATTACAACATTTAAAAGGCATCTGGCTAGGTACGTGAATAGAAAGGATTTAGAGGAATATGGGCCAGATGCTGGTAAATAGGACAAGGTCAGATGGTGACGTCTGGTTGGTGCAGACAAATTGGACGAAAGGGTCTGTTTCTGTGTTGTGTGACTCTTGACTGACCAATTCATCAATAAAAGAAAACTGTAGTTCAAAAAGAAAAACAAAACTTACTAAGTTTATGGGCTTCAGCCTGGTCATTGGAAAGGTTAACTCCTGCTTGAAGGTCATCCTTGGTAAGCATACCAGAAAAATTCTCTTCCTGCAATACAGATTTTCATGCTTCAGTAAACTTCCTACAACATAACTCTCCAAACACTTGAACTCTACCATTTAAGGATGGCACGGGAAGCAGATGTATGGGAACACCACCAACTGCAAGCTCCCCTCCAAGTCACACAGGTTGCTGACTTGGAATGGTATTGGCATTTCTTCATTGCCACTGGGTCCAAATCCTGGAACTCCCTTCCTAACAGGACTCTGGGTTATCCTACACCAAATAGACTGCAGTGGTTCAAGAAGGTGACTCACCACCATCTCGAGGATAATTAGCAGTGGGCAATGTATGATGGACTGGCCAGTAAGGTCCCAGCTCCCATGCACAGACAACAAAGAAAATGCATCAATATTCTTAAAAATACTTAAGCACGCCTGTCAATAGTGGCCTTGATAAGCATTGGCCAATTTATCAAAATAGGATGAATGTATTGAGTAATTCTTAGAAACAGAAAATAAAACAGCAAACTAATGCAAATCACTAGCAAACCAAAGACAATTCTCAGTTTTTAAGCCAAAAAAAAATCAATTTCTTCACTCTACCTGTAATTTCTGTTCTCTGTGAGCATACAAGTGTGAGAGATACCATGTGGAATTCTCCGGTTTTACACCCACAAGCGTTAGTGGAGGGAATTGCAGACCAGCCAGTAAATTATCCTGATCATGTTTCTCTAGGGCTTCATTTACTTGTTGTAAACCTTTATTCACTAGGAAATAAGGAATGTAAAACAATTGGTAAATAGGAACCATAACAATTTTACAGTTGTACTGAATTTACTCACGTTATTTGAGAAAGGAAGGGTCACCTTGAATATAAACCTTCACCTGACAAAGGAGCAGTGCCCCCTAAAAGCTTGTGATTTCAAACAAACCTATTGGACTATAACTTGGTATAGTGTAACTTCTGACATTGAATATAAACCATCCAAGCAGATAAAGGAGGGGAAATACTAAGTTCTGCTAAATAAAAGTAATTACATGCAGTTCCGCAAAAAAAATCACAAGTGCTTGGATAATGAATCCCAGGTCAATTTGCTGTTCACATAGTGAAGACGCCAATTCCAAGAAGTAAGGCTCATGAAAGCCTTTTTTACTGGCTTAGATTTGCCGAGTGCGTTCTCTATTTATTTTTGGTGTTGTATAGCATTGGGCGTTTAGCTTTCTAACTCAAAAAATTTTGCAAATTCCACAAGTTTTAAAAGTAGTACATTGGGAGTTATTTAGTGACTTACATTTATCACTGCTCAAAAATTAACTCATGGGACAGGGTCATTTCTGGCTTGGCCAACATCTCTTGCCCAACCCAGAGGGTAATTAGGAGTCACCCACATTGTTGTAGGCCAGAACACAACGCAAGAATGGCAGATTTCCTTCTCTAATAGGCATTGATGAACCAGATGGGTTTTTTTTTTTACACCTATCAGCAGTGGTTTTATAGGTTTTTAATTCTAGATTTTTATTGATTTTAAACTTCAATATCAGCCATGGTGGAATTTGAACTCATATTCCTAGAGGATTAACATGGGCTTCTGGATTACCAATCCTGTAACATTACCGCTGTGTCACCTCCTTCCCTAACAAGGGAACAAGAACACTGGAACATAGGAACAGGACTAGGCCTTTCAACCCATCAAGTCATTCAACATGATCATGGCTGATTGAACACTAATGTCTCCTACTCACCTCATTCTCATAACCCTCTAGGTCACGACTAATCAGAAATCCATCAATATCTACTTAAACATACTCAACGTTGGAGCCTTCACAGCCTTCTGAGATAGAGAATTCCAAAGTTTCACAACTCTCTGAGTAAAATCATTTCTCCTCACCTCGGACCAAGTAGCATCCCCTTTATTTTTAAATTGTGCCCTCTGGTTCCAGACTTCCCAAACAGGGAAACATCTTGTCTACATAGTCGCTGTACATCTTTGAGTAATTTTTAAGTTTCAATGAGATCACCCTTCATTCTTCGAAACTCTAGGGAATACAGACCCAGTTTGCCCAAACATCACTTCATAGAATAGTCGCACCATCACGGGAGAAAGTCTGGCGAGCCTTCATTGCACTTCTTCAAATGGCAATAATATCTTTCCTGCAGTACTCTACACAGTACTCCAGGTGCAGCCTAACCAAGTTCCAACACACCTACTTTTTTTCGACCGCTTTCCATTTAAGAAATAACCTGTACATCTGTTTCTCCTGTCAAAGTGCATAACCTCTCATTTTTCCACTGATATATTCTATCTGCCATGTTCTTGCACATTTAATAACATGGTCCAAATCTTCCTGAAGCTGTTTTACATCTTCCTCGCAACACACATTCCAACTTAGCTTTATACATGGAATTTATACATTTGGTCCCCTCCTCCAAATCATTGATATATATTGTGAGCAGATAGGACCCAAACATTGACCCTAGTGTTAGCTCACTAGTCACAGCGTGTCAATGCAAAAATGACCAATTTATTCCCATGTGGTTTTCTTTTAATCAAAAGCTCATCCATGCCAATACATCATTTCCTATCCCATGTATTTTAATCTAAGCAGCCTCTTGCGGGGACCTTATCAGAACCCGTCTGAACATCTAAGCGTACTACATCCATGGCTCTCCATATCACCTTCTGTTAGTAACATCTTCAACAATCTCCAACAAGTTCATCAAACATGATTTCCAATTGCAATGACGAGAATCATAGAATCCCTACAGTGTGAAAACAGGCCCTTTGGCCCAACAAGTCCACACCGACCCTTGGAGCATCCCACCCAGACCCACTCCCCTGTAACCCACACACCCCTGAACACAATTTAGCATGGCCAATCCACCGAGCCTGCACATCTTTGGACTGTGGGAGGAAACCGGAGCACCCAGAGGAAACCCACGCAGACACGGGGAGAATGTGCAAACTCCACACAGACAGTCGCCCGAGGCTGGAATCGAACCTGGGTCCCTGGCGCTGTGAGGCTGCAGTGCAAAAAAAAACACTGTACATGTATATATTCAGGTAAACATTACACAAGAACAGGGAAAATTACCAACTCACCATTGACCTGATCAATAGTGTCTTGAATCTCCATACGGGTCAGAAGTTCCTCATACATATCTCTCTCTTCTGCTTTAATAGAATCGCTCTAAAAACCAGGATCATAACAAAGATGTACATAGCAATTTTTAATGGAATAGCATGGCACAAGTAGTGGATGCAGCTGGGATTCATCCAAAGTAAATCAGTTCTCAAGTCAATTTCATAAATTCTATTTTTTTTTTTTAAATAGAAACTCATTTGCATACCTAACATGCTGATTTGGGCAGTTACCCCCAAACCTTGAATCATCAACAAAATCTTCTGAACAAGTTTTCAGTGGGTAGCATGGATGGGTTGGACTAAAGGGTCTCTTTCCATACTGTATAAGTTCATGACTATGGCTATATAAGGTAATTCAGTGAACATATCCCCTAGCTTCCTTTACTCTAAAACTTCAGTCTGGAAAGGACAATAATTCATTAACTTAAAAATTATTCAAGTACTTTAATATTCTTCTTAGATCAAAGTGTCAGGTCCCAACTGTGGCAGTAGGGTGGAATCCTCAATTTCTTTCAAGCTTTTAGTGTATCCCCAGAATTTAGACAAATGTGGAACTCTCAGAAAATATTCCACAGAAGTGCAGAGCATAAAAATTTTACAGTCCGCCGTGTCCCACTTCTGCTTTCTTTCAGCTCATTGTTGACAGCACCATACTATTTAATATTTGAAGTAGCCTGCTCCCGAATTCTTTATAGTGTTATCCAGACAAAAATGATACACAGAACAAATATCTTACTCAAACCCCCATGACGACAGATTTTAATTTTAAAAGGATACCTAACTTAATCATGTTAAATGGCATGCATGCCTCTTTCACGAAAAAAAAAATCACTAAAAAATGAAAAGACAGCCAGTTCCAACATGTGCTTCTGGAGGGGAGAAACAATATGGCGGAAAAGCAAATAGGTTGTCTAAAATCTACTAATCTAGACATGAAGAACAAAATGATGCTTCCCATCATCAAAATTTCTGATGAGCTGCTTTCTGTTGCTCCAAACGAACCTCATTTCAACCCAGTGCTTCGTCAAACAGTCAGACTATATGGGAAATGTAACAGGGCACATCCTAAAACACAGCACACTAAAATTCACTACCTATGTTGTCACTTCTTCCTTACATTTTAAAGAAAGTGAATTCTGTTGCTGCATATGTTATCAGAAAGTAGAAAAACTTTAAAATCTATCAAGTTCAGCTACAAAACCAGAATAATCAGGCAGTGGAAAGCTAATTACAATTATTATTGATTGCTGACTTAAAAGAAGGTGACATTCTTAGTTTTATATATGCACAACCATCATTGAATAGGACATCCTACCTTGCTTTGGGCACTCTCTTGCTTTGTTTGTTTGGCCTGAGACAATTTATTTTGGTAATCCTGAGCCAAATTGTTCTCTATATTAGTCAAAATGGCATTTGGATTCATTAAAGCCTTTATGGTCTCCTCAGCATTCCCTCGAGATATTGCTTCATTGATTGCAATTACTGCAGCATGTACTGGATAAAGTTACAAGAAAACTAAATTAACCATAAAATGTGATAATGTGGAATTAACATATTTGCAAACAAAGCTAGAATTTAGAATTAAGCACTTCAAGAAAAAAAAGAGAAGGCCGTTAAATATCAAGTATAAATCCTTTCAATGAACCGAAATCTGTTTAAATAAAGTGAATTTTCAGCTCCAAACATTCTTTAGCAGTTTTATTACAGCTTAATTTCCATTACAGAAAGAGGCTCCCAAGGTATAGCTCGTTTTCCGGAGCCTGGGACAACTCCCCCCGATGCAAGATTTGACATTTATTGCACATACGTACAAGCAGCTTCATCAACTGAAAGTTCGTTTGCCAGAATTCCACCAATTTTACTGAATGCTGGCATCTGAATACCATACTTCTCCAATTCCTTACGCATATTACTTATTTCCTCCTCTGTAAGAGAAAATATAACATTACGTATCAGATGGTCTTAAATCTAAAGAAACTCTGCAGACAGAATTTAAAACATGATCACAAAGGAAGTCTCCTTAATTGGCATCTTTTTCAGGCAACCGTTTCAAGAATAAAACGGCAAGTAACACACACCTGTAAAATCCACTTTTCCCAGCAAGTCTTGGATTTGAGGGGCTATCCCAAGTTTGAACAGGTATAAACTGCAATGAAATCAAACATATAAAAGGACTTTGTATGTACAAGTAATACATTCATGCTCATCCCCATTTTCACATTCGGACTGGAGAAAAGAAAATGACATCTGTGAAATAAATTTAGTTATTGACACAAGTATATTGAACTAATCTATTGAGCACAGACTGCATAATGTTGATCAAATTAGACTTCAAATAATATCTATTATATTCTTGCAGAGGATGTGAATATCAGTGGCAAGGCCAGCATTTGTTGTGTAACCCTGTTTGCTTTTGAGAAGGTGGTGATAAGCTGAGTTCTTGAATCACTGTTCCACAGGAACACCACAATGTTGTTAGGAAGAGAATATTTTAAAATGGAGCGATCATGTCACTGAACTGTTGATATCACGGCTTTTAAAAATGGAAACTGAGCAAAAAGAAAGAAAGACAGTACATTTCAATTTTGGCTGCAATCGCCATATCCAATGTCGTGATCATCAATCAGATTTTCAGTGAGGTGTTCAATTCACATAAGGCATAGTTAAGGCACTGAGCAACTATTGAGGCAACAACCTGTTGAATGAATTTCTGTAGAGCCCTGACAAAGGGGTTCAGGCCAAAACATTGACTTTCCTGCTCCTCAGATGCGGTCTGACTGGCCGTGCTTTTCCAGCTCCACTCCCCAGTGAAAAAATTTCCTGTCCTACTTTACTCTCATTACAGTGGAATGCTACTATTTCCGTTGATACCCAAAATAAATCCTCATTCATGGTAAATATTAACAGGCAAGAGGTTCATCAGCCTTATTTAAGTCCAAGCATTAGTTAATGGTGCACTATGTATCCATTCACTGACAATATCATCTCCTGGTAGGCGAACAAGAGAAAACTGATTCATGGCAAATTCTGGGAGAACATCCATAACTTTCTTTACAGTTCATAAAATCATAGAATTCCCGTAGTGCGGAAACAGGCCATTTGGCCTATCAAGTCTGCACCCCGATCATCCGAAGAAGAGTAACCCATCCAGATCCACCCTGTGTAATCCTGCATTCCCACGGCTAATCCACCTAGCCTGCACATCCCAGGGCACTATGCACAATTTACCACGGCCAATCCACCTAACCTGTCCATCTTTGGACTGTGGGAGGAAATTGGAGCACCTGGAGGAAACCCATGCTGACACAGAGAGAATGTACGAACTCCACACAGATAGCTGCCAGAGGATAGAGTTGAACCAGAGTCCCGGGCGCTGTGAGGCAGCAGTGCTAAAATTGCCAAATGCAAATCTAGCATGATCTCCGAGCAGACCACTGATATCCACATAAACCACTAACACCACAATTAACTGCAAGCACAACCAATACAAAAGGGTATTATTGAATGAAATATGGACATTGGATAAAAGGTGACTTTCATATCAGACTTTCTTTCACTCATGTTCTCTTCCCTTCCTTACTCATGTCTCTTTTTCCTTTAGATTCTGCTTTCGTTCTGTTCATTGCATCCTCTTACAATTTTCACTTTAGAAATTTTTTAAAAAAAGATTCAAATATAAAGTAGCAGTTAAAACCACAAGTATCTGGTCAACAAGTACAAGTAGTATAGAGCATGATCCTTTCGAAACAGACAGCCTCCAGGAGGTTTGAAAACATAGCAAAGTTTAATTAAAACCCACTTAATCCAATTAATTTGCAAATAGAGGAGATCAGTACAAGAACAGAAGGGGAGGATGCTAGCTCATGCCCTGGAGTCCACACGTTATTTTGAAAAAGGAGTTTACTATTTGTTCTTCTCTTTCTAAATTAGTGAGTCCAATGTGAGCCGCTACCAACTACTCTGTAGTGCTCTTGATCCCTCTGATAGAATGTAAAGAGTGGGCGAGGATGATTGACCAACTAGTAATGAGCATCACATCTTTACTAGGGCCTGCAGCAATGCATGTTAGGCTACTTAGATTTATTTATTTATTTGTCACATGTCTGAAGTACAGGAATACATAAGTACAGCAAAAAGTGCACAAAGTTGTCATTCACTGGTGCCCACTTGGTTACAAAAACCAGAATTAAAAGATTTAACACAGCCGAAAGGTAAGCAAGAGAAAAAAAAAGTCCAGATCTCAGAGTCCCCAAGTCCCGTCTCCACAATGGTATAGGCACAGTTCCAATCGCCAGGACACCCAAGAGACTGCCGCCAATGCCATATGAAAGGCCCAATCTCACCACCATTGCAGCCTCACTGACCCGCTCTCACCACCGACTGCTACCACCTCACGTAAGATGATAAGAGCCTTTGGTATTTGGTGGTGTCATCAACATGGATAAAGGATAAGTTAACTAATAGAAAACAAAGAGTTGGGATAAGGAGGGCACTTTCAGGATGGCAGCCTGCAACTACAGAATACAACAGGCGCTAGCGCTGGGATCACAATTATTTCCAGTATGCATTAATGACTTGGATGAGTAAAATGAATGTACCATAGCCAGGTTTAGTGATGACAGAAAAAATAGATGGGAAGGTATGTGGTGAGGGTGGCTCAAACACACCATGCAGAGGGACATACACAGGTTAAGGGAGTGGGCAAAAAAATTGGCAGATAGAATGTAAATGTGAGAGCACATGAGGTGATGCGCTTTGGCAGGAAGAATAGAGGAACTGAATATCTAAATGGAGAAAGACTGTAGAAAGCTACAGAGCAGAAGGATTTGGGGTCCTTGTGCACGAATCACAAAAAAGTAGCATCCAAGTTTAGTAGGTAATAGGGAAGGCAAATGGAATGTTGGTTTTTTTTCCCAAAAGGAATGGCATACAAGATTAGGGAAGTCTGGCTAAAACTATACAAAGCACTAGTTAGATCTCTCCTGGAATGCTGTGAGCAGCTTGGGGCCCCATATCTAAAGAAAGATATGGGATCATTGGAGGCAGTCCAGGGGAGGTTCACTAAGTTGATGTCAGGTCTTGAGGGCTGGTCTTTTGAGGATAGGTTGAGTTGGTTGCACCTGTGATCATTAAAAGTTTAGAAGAATAAGACGGACCTTATTAAAGCATACAAGATTCTTAAGGGGACTTGACAGGGTAGATGCAGAGAGGTTGTTTCCTTTTGTGGGAAACTCTACCACCAGAGGGCATAATCTCAGCGCATGGGATCCACCCACATTAGACAGAGACAAGGAGACAGAGGGTTGTGAATGTGTGGAATTCTTTACCCACGAGGGTTGTAGAGGCGGAGAGGTTTAGTTTATTTAAAAATCTGTCTATCCCAGTTTTGATCAGTCATGGAATTGAGGGTTATGGTGAAAAGACAGGAAAGTGGAGAATTATCAGATCAGCCATGATCTCATCAAGTGGCAGAGCAGACTTGATAGGCTGAATGGCCTACTCCTCTGTGTTATGGTCCTTTCTCTGATTAGGAAATTCTAAGCAAAAAGTCACGTTCTGGGTGAACAGAAGTGCTACCAGTTCAGACATCTATTCTATCTTAATAATCCCATGGCACAATAGGGGCAGCAACAAATTCTCCCAATATCCTTGCCAACTCTCATCCCTCAGTCACAATTCTGTTTGAGAAGAAATACTATCACATCGTATTTCAAACGATAATTTAGTGTGAAATCCTGCTATTTTGACACTATTAGACAGTTTAGATGTTTGCATTGTAATTAATCTGATTTTATCGCAATGTGCCAATTCACAACAACAGTCACTTTCATTATAGTTTGTGTTTTTCAGGTTTTACCTTTCAGAGCCTAACACACTACTAACGCTACTTTACAAAAATCACAGCCTTCAAAGATGACAAGAACAAGTATTCAAGGTAGATGAGATGTAAAAACACTCTAAACTAACAGCACTGCAGTGTAATAACAAGCTCTTTTAGTCTCTTTACAGTGTCATATTTGTTACACTCCTGTGCAGCATACCATTCATCCATAGATTGAGGATTGGCTTAATTCCCATCATCATTAAACCGATAGAAGAGTCATCGACAGTGCTATAAAGCAGTATTTACACAGCAATAACCTGCTCACTGATGCTCAGTTCAGATTCTGCCACAACCACATAGCTACTGGCCTCATTCCAGTTTTGGTCTAAACATGGACTAAAGAGCCTGAAATTTAGAGGTTATCAGAGAGTGATTGCCCTTGAGATCTTGGTAGTACTTGGCAACGTATGGCATCATGAAGCCATAGCAATGGGAATCAAGGGAATCACTCCAGTAGCTTGAGTCGGAACCAGCAGACAGGAAGCTGGTAGTAGCTGTCGGTTGGCCAATCATCTCAGTGCCAGAACATCACAGGAGTACCTCAAGCTATTGTTCAGAGCCAAAACATCTTCAGCTGCTTTATCAATGACCTTCCCTCCATCATAAGTTCAGAAACATGTTTGACACTATTGACTCCTTATGTTCTCAGCTCATTAGGTTCTGAAACAGCACGTACCCACTTGCAGATGATCTGGGCAACAACCTGCCTTGGGCAGAACAGTGGAAAATAACATTGGTACCACACATAATCCAGGCAATGACCACCTTCAAAAAAGTGGTGACCCTAAACCATCTCCCGCTAATTCTGCTGATTTCCCCCGCATCCTGGAAGCTACCACTAACAGAAATGGAACTGGACCAGCTGTATGAATATTGTGGTGAGAGGATTATGTAACTTACTTCTGGTTCCCAAAAGTCTGTCTATCATCTGCAAGACACAAGTCAGCAGTGTAATGGAACACTCTCCACTTACCTGGATTAGTGTCACTCCTGTACCAACTAAAAACTAATCAGCTGTGAATATCTAACATTTAACTTTTGAATACCTATAGGATTTTGGATACTTGACAACTGCATAGTAGATCAAGGACCCAGGGGAGCTAATTCTGCAAGAGAACATAAAAAAGGAAAAAAAGATAAGACCCTGTTAGCAACTATGCTGGTACTTGAAAAGCAGCCAAACCACACAAGAGGGAGTCACACTCATCAGGTGGGAGAAAATTCCCTTTCTTTCTCTGCAAGATATTATATGAGGGACTAGC